CATATATACCTTCGGATTCCTTATTCCTAATTCGATGAAAGAATTTTGATGAATCTGATCTTTTGAAACCAATCAAAATATAAAATGATTTTAATCTTAAACTTGGAAATAAATATCGTATGTTTCTTGTTAACGAAACCTAAATAAATTTAGAAGAAAGTTTTAGTAAAGTGCGAGAATTCCATTTAAATTTTCATCATTCGATTAAGGCTAAAAGATACATCTGACTATATATGTATTTTTCATTCTATGTAAAACTCTGCTGAACTTTTAAAATGACTTTCGTTATAAAGTTCAAAAGAAAATGGAAGCATGTGTTTGCATTAACCGTGGGTGTAATATCAAAAGCTCATTTTCTGACTCGCCGTAACATTTTCTGGCGGGGTTTTGGAGCAAAATACGGGAACACAATCTTTTTGATAATTCACACACCATCTGCTTGTACGTGTAAAAAATAGCCTGCACGATAAATTCGAGTTACCCAATTTTCCCACATCAAGGGGACGCTATCAGCACAACAGAAAAAAAGATGGAGATCCCTAGATAAAATTAATATTACGTATTGATGTTACTTTAGATTTAAAAAAATATTATCTTTCATCCTTATAAAAGGGTAATTCAAAATTAATAAAAAGATAAAAAAATTGAGAAATTCATATATACATCAAAATATATATTAAAAGCGTATCAAATATATTAATAGTATATTAAAAATATTGACTTGATATTTGAATAGATCAGATCTAATATGATAAACTGTACTGTGAAATTTATAGTGTCAAATTTAACTTAATTTAAGTCGTCACTGCTCCTACTAAATATATCATTATTTTATACTAAAACAATATTTAAATTTGATACATATCGTAACAATTTGATACTATATAGTATACTATCAAATATAACCATTGCTTTAATATAAAATAACGATATAATTGAGTGGCGACATTAAGTTAAATTTGACAATATAGATTTAACAGTGTACAGATGTGAAAACAATACATAAAGATTTATATACGGAAAGAACGATTTTGCTGAAGTATCTAAAAATTTAACCAGATCTGAAAATAATTTTAGATTATTATGATTTTGTATTAGATTAAAATAATTATTATAAAGTCCGCTCAAAGATAATGAGCATTACTGCAAACATTTTTTTGACATTCTAGCTTATGAATTCTAACTTATGTTCTATATAATTATTATGATGGTCTAACAAAATTATTTTCAGATCTGGTATTTAATTAAATTTTTAGATATTTTAGCAAAATCTTTTGTTCTTTCAGTATGTTTCACTTATTAATTTCAGTCATTATACGAACAATGTATAGAAAGGGATGCGAACGAGAATTACGAAATTCTATATACAAGTTTTATTTTCCTTTTTCGCACGAAACGCTCGCACGAAAGTCGACAGATAATACAATCGTATTCTGTTATATATGTTTCAGACGAAAGCGCATCTGGATGTGTTAGCGGACGCCATACTACGATGGGCGAGAGGACGCTAATTCCTTTCTTTGTTGATGATGAATCTCCAAGCTGTACATAAAACCACAAGTCTGATACGTCTACTTCTTTATATATTCATCTCGATATCTTTTTCTCCTATATTAATCTATTTTCCGGAAACTGTTTTCTCTCTATGTTTGGCGCATAGAGACGTTCATATTGAAATCAAACTCAGGGGAACGCGTTAAGAACCGTCTCTCTCTCTCTCTCTCTCTCTCTCTCTCTCTCTCTCTCTCTCTCTCTCTCTCTC